TACTTTTTTTTTCTTTTGAGACGGAGTTTTGCTCTTGTTACGCAGGCTGGAGTGCAATGGCACCATCTCGACTCACTGCAACCGCCGTCTCCTGGGTTCAAGCAATTCTCCTGCCTCAGCCTCCTGAGTAGCTGGGCCTACAGGCATATGCCACCATGCCCTGATAATTTTTGTATTTTTAGTAGAGGCGAGGTTTCACCACGTTGACCAGGATGGTCTCGATCTCTTGACCTGATGATCCACCCGTCTCGGCCTCCCAAAGTGCTGGGATTACAGGCGTGAGCCACCGTGCCCGGCCTTATTTCCTATACTTTTGAATTGTGAAAGAGTGTAATAAATTCCTGGATGCCATGCTAATGCCTGGAGAAAATAGAAGGGAATCTGGCAAACAAAACCTTAAACCCGCTTCTGAACATAGACACATACTGTGTGAGGAAAGACTGTTAGTTCCTGGTTTTCTGTTATCTATTTCTGTAATTTAGGTATTCTTTCATTAACAGCAGCTTTAAAATCCAGTGTGGGTGCCACCTATGGTCTTAGTGAGGTCCATTTACAAGTTTGGCAGTTTATTTTATTCATGTAGATTACAATATGAAATACAGTATCCTAAACCTGTGCAGTACACAGTCTGCACAACCAAATGTGAGGGCCCTGGAAACTCTCCAGTCCTGGAGTCATCTCAGAATTTCATCCAAAGTAACTCATATTTAAAGTCCCTTATAAATGGCCCAAAATAATGGTGAACTCCTCAAAACAGAGTAAAGTAGAGGGACGGTTGATACCAAGTTAACTATAAAAAAAAGTCCTAGCACTGGTGGTACTTTATTGGCTCAAGTACTTATATATATACATCTGTATCTGTATCTATATCTAGAAATATATCTGTACGTAGTATATTATCAATATCAATATAGTATTAAGATTTGATCACATCTGGTTACTCAAAACCAATTTGAAATGCACTTGTACTAATCTGTTGATGATATGCATATAAATTAAGGCTGCAAAAGCCCCCTTGTATATAATTGATATCTCCTTTCTCTTCTTCAGAATGTCTGAAAACTCTTAAACACAAAATTTCTAAATAGTTCCTGGAATATTACTATGAGGCAGGCTTGTTTGTTTTAAAAGCGATCATAAATTAGAATAATTAGCAGCTGTAATGCATGTTGAGATTTCTATATATTTGTTTTAAGTTTACATGTGCATCTACTTGGAAACTAAGTGGTTATTTGTAGGCTAATGTACCATCAGTAAGATATTTATTTAAATATAAACTTACAAATAAGACGACGCTTTTTGTGCCAGTGGATGTTGATATTTAAGTGAAATTGCTTTCAAAATTCAGAATTTATTTTGATGATTATGACATTATTTTCCTCACAGATTTAAAAAAGAAAGGTAGTGAACAGAACTGAAAGCAGAGGGTATCATAACTTAACATTCAATATATAAAGCTCTATAACTGATAACTGAAGTACACAAGGAGTCTACTATTTTGAAAAAAAGAAATATATATATATATATATATATATATATATATATATATGATTTTTTTTGAGACAGGGTCTCATTCTGTCACCTAGGCTGGAGTGCAGTGGCACAATCACTGGCCATTGTAGCCTTAACCTCCCAGGCTCAAACAATCCTCCCACCTCAGTCTCCAAAGTAACTGGGGACTATAGGCACACAACATATGCCCTACTAATTTTTAATTTTATTTTCTGTAGAGATTAGGGTCTGTTGCCCAGGCTTATCTCGAACTCCATGGCTCAAACAATGCTTCCACCCTGGCCTCCTAATGTGTTGGGATTATAAGTGTGAGCCACTGAGCCCAGTCATTTCTTTATCTATAGAAATCAATCACTGGCCCTCCATTGTTTTCTCAAATGATTACCTGATCTATTAATCAGCTTTGAATGTTTCGTTGTTCTGAAATTTGATTGAAATTAAAGAAATACTTCAAATTGTCCTACTTTTAGGTTTCTAAGAAGAAAAGTGTTTGTAGAGAACACTTCGTTGCAACAAAAATGAATGAATTCTCGGTGTAGTTATTATCCCACGTATTTGTAGAAGCTGTTTAAAAGAAAAACCAATGTATGTTTTTATTTTGTTTACCTTTAGAAACCGATGATATAAAAACAGTAAATAAATATCTATATGCCTAAAGGTTTACTTGATTTACAAATAGTAATGAAGACTCTCCCCTTTGTCTGCTTGCTCATACACAAAGTTTAAAATAAGTATTTTAAATTTACAAGTAGTTATTATTTTACTAAATACATAGAGATTTGCTAGATCATAATTCATTTATAAGTAATAATTTAACTAACAATGATCCATTTTAAGATTTAGAGAAAATTGAAAATAACACAATATGGCATGCTTTTATTGCCGTAGTATCTTGTTGGAAATCTGGCTTGCAAGAGCGTCATGTTGAGAAAAATGTTGAATGAGCCGGGCACGGTGGCTCAAGCCTGTAATCCCAGCACTTTGGGAGGCCGAGGCGGGTGGATCACGAGGTCAAGAGATCGAGACCATCCTGGTCAACATGGTGAAACCCCGTCTCTACTAAAAATACAAAAAATTAGCTGGGCGTGGTGGTGCGTGCCTGTAATCCCAGCTACTCAGGAGGCTGAGGCAGGAGAATTGCCTGAACCCAGGAGGCGGAGGTTGCGGTGAGCCGAGATCGCGCCATTGCACTCCAGCCTGGGTAACAAGAGTGAAACTCCGTCTCAAAAAAAAAAAAAAAAAAAAAAAAAGAAAAAAGAAAAATGTTGAATGTAATTAAATAAACATTTTAGCCAACCAAGTGGAGTACATACAGAAATGTTTAAAATTCCATGAGTTGGTCTGTAACAGATGCTTTACAATATTAAATGTTTGAAGACATTTCAAAATTCATGAAACACTGTATGTAAGCTTTTCACTAAATCTGAAGTTTTGGCGTTTGATGATGGCTTTGTCAACAAAATTAGTTTGGTACAAATATTAAAACGGTTTTTGTTTACCATAGAACAATAAAGATTAACAGTTTTTTAGTTAGCATTCAAAACTTATGTCCGACGTTAATTATTCCTTTTGGAAATAACTTTCTTTAGACCTTTTAGAGAGCATGAGGAAGAGAGTGCATATTACTCCTTAAATGTGAATTAAAAAAATCTTGCTGCATTTAATATGAGAATCTATCTTGCAGCAAACATTTTAAAGCAAATACGTTAACAAGACTTAGAATAATGATTCTAAAGAGTCTGTTTGCTTATACCAGTGCTCTCCAATGTATCTACTTAATCATAGCTGTATTTTACACCATAGCATGCAGTAATCATGCTCTCAGATAAGAACATTTCAGTGACAAACATCCGAACATCCAAATATTCAATAGATATTTGGAAACAATTAAATATGCATTATATGTCAAGCATTTATATCAAGGAAAAAGCTGAAATAGTTTAGAATTATTGAGTTATATTTTGTTGCCTTTGGGAGCTGTCACTTTATACAGTTTGGCAGTTGATCTTGTCTTCATGATATATATATATATATATATTTTTTTTTTTCCAAAAATCTTGGTTCTTTAAGTAAAGAAAGATATATAAGGTCCATATCTACCACATTGTCAAGAAAGTTGCCAACACATAGAAAAATCACTTAATTAAGTTTTACTTCCATTCGATCACGCTTTGCACCTTGCCTACTCTGTTGAAAAGATAATAATGAAGACTGAGCAGGTAAACTGAACAGCAGAACTAGAATAAGCATGAGACCAGAGGACTGAAGAGTCTGACAGTTGCCTAATCAGTTCCTAAATAAACAAGCATTAATCACAGTATTTCAAATATTTGAAGCTCCATCAAATGTTCAGTTGAAATGAGATAAAAATAAAAATGTGTTTAATGTCAAGAACGAAGAAAAGGGAAAATTGGAAAAAATTTGTGCACTTAGTTCAGGTTATATAAATTCTATATCTACATAAGATGTGGAAAAATAGTCACTTTTATTTACTTATTTTAACCAATAATTCTACCCATGCTTATTAATAATTAATATATGTGGATTTGAATTGATGAAAACTATGTGAAATGAGAGCCAGATGGGTCAATCCTAATTAACCTGGCAGCCATGTAGAATAAACCATAATAGTGTTCTCAAACTTTGGTGTGTTGATTGCTTTTGCAATAAAGTGACCACAAAAAGCTTATTCTGAGTTATAGGGAAAAGCCATAAGAGATGTTAGCTGTTTTGTTAGGGTAGCTCTCATGTGGAAACAATTTTAAGTTGCTTGGCTTCTGTGAACCCGTTATGCTGAAGTGCCCACAAAGAAGGACTACAGAGATTAAAAAAAATAAGAAGGTGCTGGAGAGACATCAGCTGTTTTATCCTGCAGCTATTGTCAGCCCTTGTGTCTAACATGCAAATGATGACCCCAGCCCCAGCTACCACTTCACTGCCAACTTGGGAGAGAATGTGCATCCAAGCTGCTTCTAAATATCTGATTCACAGACATTCAGGAACAATAAATACTGTTTTCAGCACGGTTTTTCTGCAGTCATATTAACTGACACCTTTTCTTACAACTCTTTTGAATTAGGTAGAAACTAGACTTTAGTTGTAATGATGAACAAACTGAATCCTAAAAAGGATAAATCATTTGATCAATGCCATACAATTAGTCTTTAGCAGAGATGAAATTGTAATCCAGGTTTCCTTGACTCTAATGCAAATGTTTTTTCTAGTACAATACAGTGCCTTCTTCTTGTTTTTTTTTTTTTTTTTTTTAATTATAATTTAAGTTCTGCAGTACATGTGCAGATCTTGCCATGGTGGTTGGCTGCCTTCATCCCCCCATCACCTGGTTGTAGATGTGTGGTGTGGTGTTACTTCTAAGGCCTCTGTTCTGTTCCATTTGTCAATATCTCTGCTTTGGTACCAGTACCATTCTGTTTTTATTACTGTAGCCTTACAGTATAATTTGTTGTTGTTGTTGTTTTTTTTCACTTCAGCAAAGAAGTTATTTTTAAAAGCACTTGGGAAGTTCCTCCTCCACCCCGCAGGTGGGAAGGCTCAGAGAAGGGTGTCATCAGTACAGCCACCTTCTAGGCCATAACGGAATTCCTGAAGGTTGGAGACCCCATAGAAGTGGACAAAGGCTGCTGCCACCACCAGGACATGGAAAATCTGATGAGACTGGAACTGCTCTTGTCTGCCGGTGCTTAGGAGTGGCAAACCGGTCCCACTGTGCCACAATGATGGCAGAAATGCCCAGGACACAGACGATGGAGAGGTAGATGAGCCGTGGCTGTGGGGAGCAGTAGAAGGAATAATAGAGCCAGGGGACAAAGCTCCCCATAATTAGAAGAGCAATCTCTGAATAGTCCAGTTTGGAAAGAGTCCGAGAGACTTTCTCTGAATGACAATAAATGGTATGAAAGAGCCAGGAGAAGCTGAGGCAGAGCACTGCGCCCAAGAAGAACATCCCAAAAACCACCTTCTCCTGTAGAGGGGCCATGAAGTACATATTTGGTCTGAGCATGGTCAAGATTCCCAAAAAGAGAAACAGCACAAAACCAAGCAGATGGGTCCAGATGGTGCCAGTTTCTGTATGGATGCGGAAGATACTCTTGAAGCAAGCCCGAAAAGAGGGCATGGGTGGTCTATGGCCATGTAGCAGATAGTCATTGTCCTTTAGCCAGTCAGGGAGCACATCATATGGAATGACCCTCCAACGTCCCTCCCAGACCTTGTATACAAACTCCTCCATCTTCTCCATGGCGTGGTGGGCTTGCAAAGGAAGTGTCAGTACCCGCACCTCCTCCTCTTCTTCCTGGGGCACTGGGCATGTTTGCTCTTCTTCAGCTTTGGTAGGGTTGGAGATGACCCGTTTGCCCTTCTCTTCTAGTAGGGGTCCCAGTTCAGCCAGTTCCACCGTGTCTGTTTCCCTGTTACTGGCAGGAGCCCCATTCCCCTGTGCCACCACAGATCCTTTGTGGGAAGACATCTGGCTGGTACCTCAATACCCTGCAGCTTCAGCTTGGGGAAAGGTTGGGGTCTCTCAGCCCCAGGGGGCAGACATCTCCCTGTGATGGTTGACAGGCCTGACGGGCGGGCTGTGCTGGGGGCCGCGGTCCCCCGCGCTACATCCCGCGGCGTCGGAGGCGGCCTGCGGCCGAGCGGCCCCGATCTTCAGCGCCCTCCCCACGCCGGAAGGGGCGCGCGACCGCACGCGTCACCTCCGCCTTACAGTATAATTTGAAGTCAAATGTCATGATGCTTCCAGCTTTGTTCTTTTTGCTTAAGATTGTCTTGGCTATGCTGGCTCTTTTTTGGTTACATATAAAATTTAAAGTGTTTTATTCCAGTTCTGTGAGGAAGGTCAATGGTAGCATGATGGGGATAGCATTGAATCTATAAATTACTTGGGCAGTATGGCGATTTTCACAATACTGATTCTTCCTACCCATAAGCATGAAATGTTTTTCCATCTGCTTGTGTCTTCTCTTTTTTCCTTGAACAGTGGTTTATAGTTCTACTTGAAGAGGTCCTTCACATCCATTGTTAGTTGTATTCATAGGTATTTTAGGAATTGTGAATGGGAGCATTTCTTCTTTGTAGCAATTGTCAATGGGAGTTCACTCATGATTTGGCTTTCTGTCTGTTATTGGTGTATAGGAATGCTTGCAATTTTTGCACATTGGTTTTGTACCATGAGACTTTACTGAAGTTGCTTATCATCTTAAGGAGATTTTGGGCTGAGATGATGGGGTCTTCCAAATATGAAATCATGTCTTCTGCAAATAGAGACAATTTGACTTCTTTTTTTCCTAATTGAATACAATTTACTTGTTTTTCTTGCCTGATTGCTCTGGCTAGAACTTCCAATACTATGTTGAATAGAAACGGTGAGAGAGGTCACCCTTGTCTATTGCCCGTTTTTAAAGGAAATGCTTCCAGTTTTTGCTCATTCAGTGTGATATTGGCTGTGGGTAAACAAATTCAATATTAAAAGAACTAAATGACACTGTCTTCTTTCTAGTAGAACACGCTGCTCTTCATATTTCCTTAACTTCTCACTCATACTCCATGCTCACTAGCTTTCCATTAATATACAGAAATAATAATCACTATTTCCTTAAAAACAGCACTGCATGGTGCATTTTTTTTTATCTATTGCTGCACAATAAATTATTATAGAATGGCAATTAAAAACAGCAAAAAGTGATCTATGTCTCCTGTCATTTCTATGGAACAAGAATTCAGGAGTGGCTTGTCAGGGAGATTCTGGCATGAGGTCTTTCATAAGTTTGCAAGCTCCTGTTGGCTGGAGCTGCTGTTATTTAAATGCATGACTGAAGCAAAAGTGTATTAGTCAATTCTCACTCTGCTAATAAAGACATAACTGAGATGTGTAATTTATAAATGAAAGAGGTTTAATTGATTCACCATTCCACAAGGAAGGGGAGGCCTCAGGAAAAATTACAATTATGGCAGAATGGGAAGCAAACACTTACTTATTTACATGGCAGTGCTGAGCAGAGGGGGAAAAGCCCCTTATAAAACCACCAGATCCTGAAGGAGAACTCACTATTATGAGAACAGCATGGCAAAACTGCCCCCATGAATGAGTTACTTCCCACCGGATCCCTTCCACAACACGTGGGAATTATGAGATTACAATTCAAGGTGAGACTTTGTTGGGGAGACAAAGCCAAACCGTATCGTTCTGCCCTGGCCCTTCTAAAATCTTGTCTATCTCACATTTCAAGACACAATTATGCCTACACAACAGTTCCCCAAAGTCTTAACTCATTTTAGCATTAACCCCAAAGCCTAAATCCAAAGTCTAATCTGAGACAAGGTAAGTCCCTTTCACTTATAAGCTTGTAAAATCAAAAGCAAGTAAGTTACTTCCTGAATACAATGGAGATACCCGCATTGGATAAATAACTTGTTTCAAATGGGAGACACTGATCAGAACAAAAAGACTACAGGATTCATGCAAGTCTGAAATCCAATAGGGCAGTTATTAAATCTTAAAGTTTCTAAATGATCTCCTTTGACTCTGTGCATCACAACCAGTTTCTTTTGATGAAAGAAGTTCCCACAACCTTGGGCAGCTTCAAGCCTGTGACATTCAAAGTTAAGAGCAGACATGGTCATACTTAACAATGGTAAGAATTAGGATTCTGAGACTATTGAAAAACATCCCTCTGTGGAGTCCTGAACTATGAAATTAAATCATGGATATTGAATGAACTATCTAGTTTATTATCAAGAGAAGGATCTGTTCTCTGATGAAATGTTCGCTTATTACCTAGCCTGTTTCCTTGCTGACTTTTGATTTCTGAAAAAGTCCTTTAGATCAGGTAGGGCTAAATTGAAATAGTGAAGCTGCCCTGCCTCCCCGCATTTCCTGTGAGAATGAATCAAGTTGGACTTTCAGTCCCCTCTCTGGTATATCTCACTAAAGCTGGCTTTTTTTTTTTTTTTTTTTTTTTTTTTTTTTTTTTGTTCTGTTTACAGCAAAAATCACTCAACAAAAAGCTGATAGTTCAACTACATCCTTATGTTTTCTTTGTACAAATGCCTTGATAAAGTAGTTTGATTATTGAATGCAACTATCCCCAGTGTGGGCTGATCTTCTCACTAGATATTTATTGGATGATATAGATCTATTCTGAAAAAAGCAATTCAGGATTATGGCCCAATAATTTCCTTAGACTTGACATGTTTTTTGTTTTTCTTATAATTGTAACCCCAGTTCAGGTTGACTGGGAAAGGAGCGGGCATATTCAGACTTTTTTATGGAAATGTTCTTCCATAGAATGGCTTTTGTTTCTCTTCCGCCAGAATGTTCTGAACAAAAGATCTAAAAGTAGAAGATGACTCATAGTGGAGCGAGCATAGAAAGTCAACACCAAGACAGAATATGCCAAATTGCAGGGTCTTTATTGCCGACGGCCACAGAGGACTACTGTCTCTCCAACCTGAGGCCCCAAAAAGAGGGTGTCAAGACCTTTTATACCCGTAAAACCACTTCGGGGGTGAGGGTGAGGGGTGGGGGGCATGAGGGGTTTCAGACATTCTGAGGGCTAGTGGATTCTGTAAATCACCTCGTTGGCGGAGATGAGGGTGAGGGGCTCTGGACGTTTCAAGAGCCAGGAGACTTTGGACATTCCGATTGTTACTTAAGTGGTTCACAGAAGTCAAGATAAACATTAATTTACACATTGTCTGGGTAGGGTGGAAATCACACACCTTAGTTACTTATTACAAGTTGCAGGGGCCAAGATGGCTTGGGTTTGGACTGCTTGTCTGCCACATTAGGGGTTACAGAGAGCAGTTTCAACAGAAAGCCGAGGTATGGTTGAGGTGTGCAGTTTTATGGGGCTTTTACCATGTCATAGACTGATAACAAAAAACTATAAAGTGAGAGTTAAAGAAATGGGACAGCCAGGTTTTATAAAATGGTAGAAAGCAAAAACCATGCCATTGGGGAAGGGTAAACTTAAACCTCTAAGAAGTGTGGAGGAAAAGGGGCATTCATAAGCTCTGTCTTTTACAAAGTGTCCCTGGAGCACTGGTCTATGCTGTTTTGCCAACTGGCTGCCTTGGTTGGAAGGAGTTCTTTTAAACTGCTTTCCATACCATTGTGAGGGCTTTGAATTCAGGCTACCTACTGAGCCAACCATCCTTGGCAAGAGAGCTGGGGATGACTTCAGCTTCTACTTTTCAACACAGGGCACCTACAGATGTCATCCATATCTCATGGAACAGATACATTGGTGTCGTGGATAAGCAGCATTGCCGGAAACTTACTGCCTTCAAGGGGTCCCTCAGAATCACAGACCGAATCGAACTAAAATATTGTGACCTAACTGCCACAGTGTGGGGGTTTCTAAAATTTACCAACCAATGGGAGTTGTGAGACCAGATTGGAGGCTTTCTCTATTTGTGCTGCCTGACATGTATGTCTTACATAGGGGCATCCAACAGTTGTAAATTCTTTATCTCCAGGAGTACCGTAAGAGACTTCTGGAATTGTGCTTCTTGTGTCCTCTGTACAAAGCGTATGTTACCTCTCTCTAGCCTTGATTGATACCTAGGGATAGATGGCAGCACATTAAAGTGTTCAGAGATATATTCTGTAGAATTTTTTTCTACAACAGGACTACTTACACTAGAAGGGTGGTATTAAAGGTGTCCTGGATTTTATTGCAAATGATTCGTGACCCCCTCCTTAGTCTCGAAGGTATTTAACAGGCAGCTTCATCTCACTGACCAGCATTGTATTAATAAAATTTAGTATAGATTTCTTCCTTGCAGATCAAAGTGAAATCTGAGGAAATTATTATTATTATTATTATTATTATTATTATTATTATTTTATTTGAGACAGAGCTTTGCTTTTGTTACCCAGGCTGGAATGCAATGGCACGATCTCGGCTCACCGCAACCTCCGTCTCCTGGGTTCAGGCAATTCTCCTGCCTCAGCCTCCTGAGTAGCTGGGATTATGGGCACGTGCCACCATGCCCAGCTAATTTTTTTGTATTTTTAGTAGAGACGGGGTTTCACCATGTTGACCAGGCTGGTCTCAATCTCTTGACCTCGTGATCCACCCGCCTCGGCCTCCCAAAGTGCTGGGATTACAGGCTTGAGCCACCGAGCCCAGCAGGAAATTATTAATTCTTCTGTTGTACCTCGTGTATATGCTTCTGGCTAGTTGAGCAAAGTTAATATAGACACTTAAATGGGAAACCACAGGGCTTTCTAAGATAAACCTTAATTGTTAATGAGATTTGTTTGATGAAACCCAAGATCCTTGGAGGGTGTGGCTAAGACCAGTAGTGCAGATTTGATCTCATCTTACCCTTGGAATCCTGGCAATAGTTGAATAGCTGTTGTTTACAACAAACTGAACGTATTTGGTCCTAATTCTTGTTGGTCAGATTAAAACAAAACAACCAATAATGTGCCATATTATGAACAAATTTTCCAGAAGACGACAATGAAGAAATTTTGAGGTACGGAGAGAATATTTATGAGTACGGGCAGACGTGGGACATTCTGAAATAAATTATGCTTAAAAACTCGGGATCCTGGTCTAAGAGCCAACTTTAAGAAGTTAATTTACAATTGCATAGATAATGAGAGAACTCCAGAAATATTTGCCTAACTCTAGAGGTATGTGTTTTAATTTCAAGGAAAAATGAGGCCTGGAACCTTGGAAA